ACACAGCTATCTCATCTCCTTGTTTTTATCAATGGTAGGATTATGTTCAAATGCTCCCAATGAATAACAACTCTTCTCCCACACACAGATACACACACATTTTAATTTGAACCCAAGCCCTGATTCGAAGGGCAGCTTTCAGGATTTGCACATTTATAATTCCTCAAGTGGAAGCTACAGAAAAGTGTCCCTTTACTAATGGGAGTCTGTAGGCTACAGATATATTTATTTCTGATGTATATTTGAAATTTCATATTTTTCTAATAAGCAGATTCTTGGAGTTTATGAAGAAAAGAAGCTACTTCTCAGGGGTGGCAGCCTGATTTGGTTTTCTTTCCATTTACAGGTATACATATACTCATAAGTAAGCATGATACACAGTTGATAACACCAAATATGGAAAACCTAAGACAAGGAATTCAGCAACAAACAGATATAAAATCTATCTCCCTTTCTTTTTCACACACACATATATGCCACATACCCCTCAAATGGATGGGGAATGGATGGCAGGCAATAAAAGGTTGACTTTACTTTCAAAAAGGAAACTGATCAATTCTGTACAACATGGCTCATCAACTAATAAATAGTAAGATAAAAGCTTAAGAATGTTCATGTCCATTCTTACCCCCAAACTCCCAATGACATTGGAAAAAAAAAATACTGCATTGCAGCACTTGGCAGCGCATACTCCTATATCAAGTATCCGCTGGCCCACTCACCAAAAAATGTACACATTAAATTTCCAGCAATAAATTAAGTTCCTGGTGGCCACATATCACTGGAACTGATGAGGAAATTTGTCAAGGCCAAAGGACTTCTGTCCATATATTACGACCTCTATCAAGACTGCCATTCCTTACTTGCGGTACATATAATTTCTTTTTTAAAAATTAAAACAAGGTATTAAGATGTCAAAGTCTAAATGAGGCAGCATATCTCTTCATGGAAGGAATTGTATTTTGTCTACATATAGGAAGAGAATCCACTCACAATAAGAAGATAAGTGCAAAGGGAAAAAAATCTAACCAAAGAAAAGGACTTGCACTGAGGAAATCCTTTCATTGTTCATAGTAACTCTAACTTGAGAGACATACTTCCATCCATCCAATAATACTTTTAGAGATACAGAACACACATACAGAAAGCACCATCCATGCAATAATTTCTAGATATGAAATTTCAAATAGATTATTTCCAATAGAAATTCTAAATTTAAAATATTTGAAGTCTAGCATGTCTCAAATCCCCTTTGCAAGACTGAATTTGAGACTAAAAGACATTCATGCAGTTCATTTTCTTTCTCTTGCTTTATAAAATATATTTTACTACTGCTCCTTTATAGCAACCTACCCTTACTCTTATAACAAAATCCTAATATTTAAAAAACCAAAGAAGGGATGCAGGGAGAGAAAAAGTTTGAAGGCTTTGTGCAAACCATCAAACAGAAGCAAGCCCATCTATATCTGGCCAGAAGGATGACTTGAATGAGTGCCAGTTAGGAATGAATGGGGCTAAGAGCCAAATGAATGGCTGCTTGTTAGTTTTAAAAAATGAGATATTAAAATCACCTTGTACATTAATGATTGTGAAAGTAAATTTTCAACTACTTCCCCACCTATGCTCATTTGACTCTTTCAAAATTTAAATAGTAAATAATTTAGCCATTATATTACTATGAGATATACGAACATTCAGATCATTAAAACTGTGATAGTCAGGTGTTTTTTTTTCTGAGACATATTTCCAATCAGGTTTCTACTTCTCAATAAATGTGCACTCAGCCTTGTGCTTCCACAACGGCACACCTCCACACGCAGGTAGTAGGCATTATTTTTTTTTTAAGACAAAGAAGCAAGAAAGGTCAGCAGCAGAATCACGTGTCTCTTTTACAACCCAAGCCAACATGACAGTTCTTATGGAAATTATTTTCCCCTAAGTAAAAACTGTCAGAAAATACTCAAAATAAAATAAAGGAAACTATACTAGAGAAAAACAAATTATTCTGTTTTTAAAAGGTAACATATTTATTCACTCATCATAGGAGAGTGAGGTTCAAGTATAGAACAAAAAATATGTTTATTTATTTTTACCTCAAGAGTCAAAACAAAATATTAAAAACCCTCAGTAAGAAGACAAAACAAAAAGAAGCATCTGTATGGAAGAAAGAATGGTGGAGGAAGGTGTGGAGAGATTTGCAATGGGGAAAGTAAAATTTAAGAGTACTTCAATTATATTTTTTAACCTTTTAATGTATTTCAGTATTTTTTAATCTCTCATTTTGGGGCTTATAATTAGCTAAATGATGATGTATTTATTTTCTCCCCCAGGAAGAAACCATAAAGATCACTGTTTTAGTTATTTTTACCTCCTATTCACCCAAGTAGTGTATTTTTCAGTCCTTCTGGTATCCACCATCATGGGAAAAAGACACTACTGGTAAAGCACACTATGAGAGAGAAAAAGCTAGAGATCCCTGTCACCCAGCGCATGCATGGGTCCCAGACATTCAGAGACACTAGGAAAAAAAAAAATCAGCTTTTCACTCAGTTTTATGCCAACTCCAGAGTCAAGACCAAATGCCAACGGGAAGGAATGGTTATGAAGGTGCAGCCTGAAGGATCCTGTGGCTGAAGGCATGGGGAGAAAAAGGAAGCAAAGAGCTAGAATAGAACAATTCCTTTATTATTTTTTTAAAGTAATCTCTACTTGGGATATAAAATGAGACATACAATGAACTCCTCAGAACTATAGTATCAACATCTGATTTACTAAAAATATCAGTATCACCTAACATGAAATCACTGCTAATGGGAAATCTAGTCTACTTATATTTTTCCTATGAATATTTGCTGGAAATTTCTAAGAAATCATTTACAGAACCTATCAGCTGTGGGAGTTCACTATTATGCTTCCATCAACTTCATTCAATAAAATTTACATTTTTTTTCAAATGGTCTCATAGAATTCCTTGAGATTTTTAGCACGTACAATTTCACAGCAGGGAAAAGGGGGAAAAAGAAAAAAGAAAAAGCAAGATTCTCTACCCTCCCTCCCCCTCCCCCTTCCCTCCCTCTCTTTTTTAAACAAACAAACAAAAAGAAAACCAGGGGAGACTGAACAGATGCTTAAAAATAGATTTCTAAAAATCACTGTAAACCAGAGTTAGAAATGTAATTAACACCTATTTATAAAGAATAATTAAAGTTGGGCTGGCCACAAAGAATAGCAAAGATAATCATGGTCCTGCTCTCCCCCCTCTTTTTTTACACTGTTTGCAGTGTGTTCTCATGATAGCCACCTGCTCCCTACTCGGCTTCTCCTCTGTTCGTTTCCCCGGCAACCTTTCATTGGGTTTTCCTCCCAGCTATCGCTTTCAGTTGGGCTGCTCGGTCTAATCTTATTTGTTTTACACCCATCAAAACATGCAGCCAGACAAAGGCAATCCTCTAAGAATGGGAAAAAGACCACAGCTTTGTTATAACATCTATGCGGGGAAAAAAGTCCTCCTTAGGCTTCTTTAGTGAAAAATAAGGGAGATGAATATGAATTTACAGCCTTCCCCCTACCCACCCCTGAAAGCCCATAAAAGCTACTGCTGATGAAAATTCAAAGTCAAAGTGGGCGCTCATGGCATTTGATCATGCCATTTTGTGCCATATCTTCAGGATCAACATCAGGGGACAGGAGCGGCACTCAAGGAGTTTCCTTGCTTCCTTTTTTTCAGAAAAAGATGATGCTATAAATAGATTTACTACTTTGGCAGAAAGGTTTTCCACTTTCCCATCCACATCCAAAAGTCCTGTTTCACAATTGCATCTGCCTGTACTGAATCTTACCTCCTCCACCCCTCCTTCTCAGCCTTCCCCATCACTCCTAGTAGGAGACTGAAAAAGAAATGTGCCTTTAACTTTAACAGTCATGTAATTCCACTGAAGGCTCACAGAGGCAGTGGACACGCCAGCCAACAGTGACGGTGACACTGTGATTGTCAAAAAAGACACCAATCTTGCTTGGCTAAAATGTGTGTTAGATGGAAAAGGCAGTGTGTGTGCCTGTGTGCATGCAATACCATTATACTTGGTGGCAGATTCTGGTTCTCAGAAAAGAAAAATACTAATAAACACACACAAACGATCACCACAGTGATTTACAATGCACAGTCCACCACACACACACACACACACACACACACACACAGACACACACACACACAGGACTGGAACCTCCAAGCTGCCTTCCTCTTTTCACTTACCATCTTCAAGCCATTCCACTCCATCTGTGATCAGAAGAAGATGGACCCTCACACAGTGTGTCAAAAGCGGAAAGGAACGTTATGTAAAAGCTGACATTCCTTCTTACAGAGCCGCTGCCCAGAGAAGGAAGCAACAACTCAACACGCCAGGCACTGCTACACATACAAGCCGCCTCCTCTTTTTTATGAGGTCATGACAGGAAACTCTTTGAAATACAAGATGCAGCATTTACTGAAGCCCAAATAAATCACACTCTTTGCCGTTTTGACTGCGCAGTCCCCTGAAACACAACTGACCATCTCAGTGTTCAACATTCAGGCAGTACCTCTTGAGGTTTAAATCTCCAGCACAGAAATGGAGAGATTCCTAACCCCGCTGTATTCACCCCAGCCCCACAAAACCCAGGCATGTAGACAAACCCCTTCTCCCTTACAAAGAGAAAACGCTTCTTTTACAAGTAATATAATCTCTTTCAACAAACCAGCAATTATTTCAGCCCACCCCCACCCTGTCTTTATGTGGAAGGGAAATCTGACAATGACCTGTTAAAAATGACAATCTACCTCCCCACTGTTTTTCAATAAAAGGACCTACCTGCATTCTACACAAAAGATATAGTAAATGCAGGAACCAAACAACAACGGAGAACTAAACTCTTGTGCAAGCATAAGACTGGTCAAGGTGTAGATGCTTGTCTTCCCTCCAGCAACGCAAACAACAGATTATAAATCTAGTCATACCTACCATAACCATTCTTATTGGCAAATATTGGGTCTTGCAGAGCTTCGACTCTTCTCTTAAAATTTGGAAAGGTTTCAGAATATATTTTTTAAATGACTACGATTGTTATATATATTTAAAGATCCACAAAACACAGTGTGGATGATTGTAAAGTAAATCAATTATTTGGGGGGCGGGGAGAGAAAGAAAAAAAAGAAAGAAAAGGAGCAGTGAGCTGAAACCCTCTGATTCTAGGATGTAGATAAGAACAACTGAACAGAGCCTTGCTGAAATTGGCTCGAAGCTTCCCCTTTTTACATCCATTTATGGGACCATCTGTCAGCCGAAGCCAGAATTTGATTGGCTGGGGAAACGAAGGGAGGCGTTGCAACATCAGGTGCTATTTAAATTAGCTACTGCCAGATTGGCGATGTTAATGATTTGGTGACCTCTACAACAACAGAGACCAGATTTCTGAACTGCTTCTTGTGTCTGGTAATTAAGCCCCGGCTGAAGCAACAACAGCCACACTTGTATTTTTACCTTTTCCTTCCTTCCAGCTCAAAAGTACTGTAACAACTGCAGGTCACTGGAAGCTTGCAAACCTTAACAGTGGGAGTGTCCTTCCTTTCTCCAGTCCTGAGGGATGCAGATTCCATCCCTTGGATGGAAGGCTTTTCTGGTGTTGAATATTTTCAACCACCTTATCTTTCTTGACAGTTGCTTTCTAGCGAAATGCATATTTAATGATCTGCCTCTAGGCTTAAAGATACCACAAAAGCACTTTAATGTGCTAATACTTCTACATTTTAACTTTATTATTTCCCAATATTGCTGATTTTTTAGTAATGCTCCTTCTGGAGCTAACATGGCCAGCACTGCTAAAGTATGCAAGTTTGGGATTAAGCTTGCTCTATGAACTAGGTTCACACAAGTTTGCCTCAGAAAACTATTTCCCAATAAACAAAAAAGAAAAAATCTGGAGGAAAGAAGGGGGCAGCTGTCAGCCTTTACCTTTCTGCTTTCTGTTTGAGCTTTTCAAAAGAGAATGATGAATGATTTATTTAAATGAATTTATTTCTCAACTTAGGGGCATGATCTGAATTTTTAAAAATCATTAAAACATATTCTCCCTCTGCTTTCCCTACCATTCTACAAGTAAAATATTCTTCTGAAATAAAACAGCCTCATTTCATTACCTGTGCAGAGTGCTCATCTTAACTAAACAAGTGATTTTGCTTCTGTTCTTCAAATAATGCCCTTTTGCTTTTGGTCTCTTCAAAGATTTGCAAAGAGACATTTAGCAAGTGCGTGGTGATGTATATAGATTATCTGCTGATGTTATACATTACACAGCATCTATGCTACCAAGCTTTCAGTAGTAAATATTTTTTTTTTCTGATCTGGGTTTTTAAAGTGACCTTCCTGAGAAGTTTATGCTTCATACCTATACAAAAGGCTAATTTATCACTATTTAATTTATTTGTTTATCAATAAACATACAGAGGTAACAAATACCGCCAAAATTCAACATAATATTTGGTTCAATTGGAAAGTGAGACAGAACTAGGGAAAGTAGAAACAGGGTAAAAAATATGCTGTTTTCCTGGGTTCAAAGTCCAAGAATAAATGTGTTTGTGAAAAAGTATTAGAAAAGAAAATAACTTTTACATTTTAAAGATTAAAACTATTTTCTCTAAGTTACTATTTCATGAATACACATACATATATAAACACTAAAAATAGATACACCATAAGACAGGACGTGTTGTGCATACTACATGAACTATTAGTCTTAAATAGAAATAAGTTCAGCTATTAGAAATAAAAAGACATAGAATATAAAAACAAAAATGTTAACATTATAATCCTTTCCAGGGGAACAATACTGGATTAAGCACACTCTTAAAATAATTTCTTTAGCAAATCTATAAAGTGTCCCATGAGTTATAATAGCACTATATAATATCTGTTAAGTGTTTATTAAGGATGAATTCACAGGTAAAGTGTTCTAAACGGCTCAACATATGTACACAGGGTAGGTGCATGTGTCTCAAATCAACAACAGAAACTCTGAGTGTGATTTCACCAGTATCAAAATATTGTGAAAAGTAAATATTAACATAGTGCTGACAAACACATAAATTAAAACAGCTCACTTGGAACAAAATATTTACTTGATATTTCTCTGTAGTTTATAAAGGATGGAATTTCTAAAAGGAAAAAAAAAAGCCTTTTCTCCCATTCGTTCTAACCTCAGCACACTTGGTGAGCCTAAATCAACATAAAGTATATCAAAAGATATCTAGGCCACTTTTCTGAAATAGTAACTGTATATTGCAGTATAAATAATTAGCTGGTATTGCCAGGCTAAAAATCCATGCACTTTGTATTGATCACTTCTCCAAAAACCTCCACTCTAAAGTCTTTCAACAGAATCCTCAAATGCACAAATGTCCTCAGAGGCCTTTTCTCTAAAGACAAAGACAGAATCCTATTGTTGGGAAAAGTCAACCTTATTATTGCATTTCCAATAGTACTATTCATCTTTCAGAGTGAGGGGATGACCACTACATCAGTGGTGTGACATTTGTAAAGCAACAGATTCTCAATATATTACCTCAAGAATCAGATAGGTGAGTCTCCCAGTCATGCAGGAATTTTTTTTCCGTTACAATCCTCCACCACCACAGAAAGAAACTTGTCTCACTCAAGCAGCTAAGGCAACCTAAAAATGATATCCCAGGGCTTTGGGGTTGCCAGCGCCGCCGCTGTATTCCTCTTACCATAAATGAGCAGTTTCTTGACTCACTAATAACAATTTCCCTTAAAAGAAGTAATCTCATATCAGTCAGCCCCTCACCACCATGCACACATCCCAAAGGTTGCAGATATCTCAGCATCAGTCGCCGGCAGCCAGCTTTCCCACACAGAGTCCAGATGGACTGTACCAGAAGCCAATTCAGCGTTAATAACTACCTACTCCGCGCAGTGGAGAAGCCTTACGTGGCACAATGGGCTAGGAAACAGCAGCCGGCTGAAACTGCAAATAAAAAAAAAGACAACCAAATTCTCCAAAAGCACTGAAAGGAAGAACAGAAATGGAAGCGTAAGTTTTATTTCCTTGACTTCCTGGGGGAGGGGGGTTCTTTATAAACACAGGGAAAAAATGAAGGGGGGGGAACAGATGCTGGCCAGAAAAAAGTGACAAAATACTACCTCATTATTTAACAAAGCAGCATTTAGCGTCCTGCTGATTTCAAACATCTTGCCACAGATTTTGTTTTAAGAGAAACAGAATCTTTTGCAAAGCACTCCGTCTGCAAAGGGTAGTTCAATTTTCTTGCATGCCACGGAACAGTCAATATACTATTTCCCTAGAGTTTGCACATTAAAACCTCTAGCCAGTGAGCTGAATTTTCCTCTTATCTCACACACGGTAGACTCCTGTTATTCGTATTACTCTCTTTGCAAGAGCAGCCTGCCCCAAACATGGCTGGTGTTGAAACTACTCTTTAAAGTAACAGTTCACTATATAACCACCAGGTGGGTAAAGTGTACAGATTCAAATGAATCATCTTAAAGCAGTGTGCTTCCCCCCCCCGCCCCCTTTTAAATAGCTTTTGGGTATAGGATGTGACAAGAGAAACACTAGCATTCTAACAGGCAAGATTGTCTCTTGCTGTATCTTGTATGTATAAATAAATAAATTTTCTTTTCATGACTTAAAGTGTGGAAGGAAAGCAAAAAAAAAAAAAAAACTAACAAAAATCCTAAAAACTGAAAAATGAAACACAAATAAGCTTTGTTTTCATCAGCACAGAATGAACAAGGAAAATACAACACACAGCAAGAGGGAAAAAACAGAAGCCCCTTGAAAATATTTTCCTTTAGGAAAATGAGAAAAATATTTACACATGATGAAAACCAGATTTAAAAGTGTGTGGATGAAACACACAAGATGGAGGTAAGAGTTTAAGGGTGCAACTTTTCTTCTGAGTAAAACATTAGGTTTGTTTGATATGGTCTCTCCTCTTTGTAGGAAATAACCAGATGCCTAAAAGTAATGACACTAAAAAAAATTAAACATCTCTTAAAAACTCAATTATATGAACAATTATAAACAAACACATCTCTACACAAGGCCGTTCTATTCCTCTAAGATCTGCCTTGAAGTAGAACATTTCCGCTGTACACTATTTTGGAAATATAGTTAACTCGGCATCTCGTATGTACCATTCTATTCCAATTAATCTACTCCTCTGGCACTAACAAAGAGAATGTCCCAAGTTGAAAACTCCAAGTGATAAGAGGGAGATGTTAAAAGGATATAAAATCTCCTGAATAAAAATAAATTATATCACTTATATTTTAAGGACAGGCATACTGCTTACAAAGCATGCATGCACCATTCCGTGTTCCCATGTATCTAAAAAAAAGAAACCAACACACACCGATACCTGGGATTTTGCTTTCTTCACTGGACAAATTTTAAACTCTGGAATTTCTACATCCTCTTGCAAACACAGATGTCAATATTAGTATTTTTCCAGCCCATCCACGCAACACAGCAGTGACTGTCTCCTTCATCTCTAAGACAAGTCTGTATCACTTAATATCATTTAACGTCCTTGCATATATTAAATTTCAAGTGATAATTTTTAACTGGGGAGTGAGAAGGAGGAGTTGCTCTCATCAAATTCTGGTTGTATGAAATAAGCTAATTTGTACACTCACCATATGTCTTAAACACTAATTAAAAAATGTCACTTTCTTCAAACATTATAATGTAATCAGCCTAGTAAATAAAATATTCTCAAGTTTTCTTGCCTTGGTGATAATTTAGAGTGTTTAATCTCAAAGTAACCTCTCTATCTTGATTACCAAGGAAGACTTTTGATTTGAAAAGGGGAAAAGGAGATACTGGAGACTGCGGGAAGTGAGAAGAGAAAACCACTACTGTACATGGCTGCACAAAGGAAAATAGGATGAAGCAGGAGTTTAAGGACCCATAGTCTTGTTACCCTAAGGCAAATTCAGCCAATCAATACCACCCATTGACAGACTACCATCTGCCATGCTACCGAATGATGTGGCTAAACAGACCTGTTCCATATGACTGTAGCCAGCTCATTTTCAGTCAATTAGGGTAGTTCCAGAGCATTCACGTGCAACAGCACAAAACTCCAAGTCAGACTGAGCTTCTCTTCACACCAGTCACTCTGAGCACAGCTACAGCCCGTTTCTTCCTGTTCCGGCTCCCTAGATTACCTCTTCTTG